AGGATCAAAATATCTTAAATAATGTATTGATAATACTGAACTGGATCACTGTCATATGGCTGAGATGAGTGATCAAGCTGAGATGAGGGACAGAACAAACTGTCAGAAGTCTTGATATCACAGCAACTAGTACTGACGGAACAAACTGTCAGAAGTCTTGACATCACAGCAACTAGTACTGACAGAACAAACTGTCAGAAGTCTTGACATCACAACAACTAGTTTTGACAGAACAAACTGTCAGAAGTCTTGACATCACAGCGACTAGTTTTGACAGAACAAACTGTCAGAAGTCTTGACATCACAGTGACTAGTTTTGACACTTCCTTTCCACTCTCGCATGAGACTGAAGATGATACTTTGTTTACTAACAAGACTTAATCATGAGCGTAATGCATTGGAAATGTATCTTGGACCAGTAGAAAGTGAAATTTAACGCAACTAAAACTCTGAAAAGGGTCAGGCATTACTCTACCAAATGTTGTATACCATAATATTTATAAATAATTCATTGTTTGTTATAACGTGACAGTTTTATGTAAAAAAAACAATTGATAACTACTTTTGTAGTTAGCAGTACAAAAAGTTCAAAAGCGCAATCCAGCGCCCCAGTATTGTGCGAAAGGCCTCATCAGGTCAGCTGTGATATGATGAACGTAGTACTGGTCAAGATGCATTTCCAATGCATTATGTAAGCCTTTCGTGTAGCATGTTGTCAAATGCTTTCTGAAAATAATACAGATACATCGTACTCTCATCTACATAAGCAGTAATCCCTTCAAAGAATGTCAAAATATTAGTATAGTGAGGCAAGATTTTTTTTCACCTAGTGAAACCATCCAACAAAAAATTTTAACTTTATTAAATGACTTTGCAAAGCATCTTTTATAATTAGATTTTTAAAAAACTTACTCACATGAGGTTATTAGGCCTATAATTACTTGAATTTCCCTTGAAAAGAGGAATAACATCAGCCAACTTCCAATCCTCTGGCACCTTTCCATCATTGAAGGACTTGGGAAAGATGATTGTAAGTGACTCACATATCGAATCCATAACCTCTTTCAAAACCCTTGGGAAAATATTATCTGGCCCAGGAGTACTTATCATTTTTCCCAGTGTAGCTGTTAACAAGATCAGAATCGCGGCCTTGCATGACCAGATGGTTAGGGTGCTCCACTCGCAATCTGAGGGTCGCGGGTTCGAATCCCCGTACCACCAAATATGCTCGCCCTTTCAGCCATGTGACGGTCAATCCCTCTATTCGTTGGTAAAAGAGTTGGCGGTGGGTGGTGATGACTAGCTGCCTTCCCTCTAGTCTTATACTGCTAAATTAGGGACGGCTAGTGCAGATAGCTCTATTGTAGCTTTGCACGAAATTCAAAACAAACAAACAGATCAGAATTAATATGATAATCTTGTTCGATCATGTTTATATCTAGTGACTGTTCACATTGACTAAATTGAAGAAAAAAGTGGAATTAAATAACCCAACCATCTCGTACTCGAATAAAAGCCTTTCTTTATCGTACCTAAAGGGTCCTAGTCCCATTCTTAACCTTAAGATATTTAAAAAAATCCTTACTGTTAATTTAACTTTACCTTATTCACTTTGTGAGGGCCCAGCAAGGTCAGGTGGTTAGGGAGCTTCACTCCTTATCTGAGGGTCGCGGGTTCGAATCCCCCGACCCACCAAACATGCTCGTAAGGGGGCATTATAATGTTGCTGTCAATCCCACTATTCGTTGGTTAAAGAGTAGCCTAAGAGTTGATAGTGGATGATGTTGACTAGCTGTCTTCCCTTTATTCTTTCATTGTTAAATTAGGAATGGCTAACTTTGTGCTAAATTCACAAACCCAGCTGGTTTACTACTTGTAGCCACCATTTTTTTTTGTAAGGTACTTGTTATCTCTAATATTCAAAAATGTAGTTTTGAAAATTTTCCACATTTGACCAGTATCTCCAGTAAATTCTGCTGCCCAGTTTACGACAAATAATTCTTTGTATTCAAAATATTAAGTAACATTGAAATGCTTTTAATGTTTTAATACCGTAAAAACTACAATACTTAATGTTTTAATACCGTAAAAACTACAATACTTAATGTTATAATACCGTAAAAACCACAATACTTAATGTTCTAATACCGTAAAAACTACAATACTTAATGTTTTAATACCGTAAAAACTACAATACTTAATGTTTTAATACCGTAAAAACTACAATACTTAATGTTCTAATACCGTAAAAACTACAATACTTAATGTTATAATACCGTAAAAACTACAATACTTAATGTTATAATACCGTAAAAACTACAATACTTAATGTTTTAATACCGTAAAAACTACAATACTTAATGTTTTGAAAGTAATTTTAAATTTTCCAAAATGAAAAGAGTTGTAATTAATATAACAATTAAAATTATCGCCTGACGTCTATCGTACAAATTTATTATATTAAACCTATCAATGAAGTTTAATAATGAAGATGAAGACGGTTGATAAAACATTTTATTTACTGTTTATCGTAAAATAACTTTTACTGGCCTCTACAACAATTTCAATAGTTTTATCCCAAACTTCTTCAAACGTAATCTGGTTATATCATTGTTGAACAGAATTTTTAATGTTTGTTCTAATTATTTTATTTTACACGAAGAAATTACCCTTCTACATAAACACCTGTTAAATAATGGCTATCTGGTTTACCTTTCTACATAAACACGTGTTAAATAATGGCTATCTGATTTACCCTTCTACATAAACACCTGTTAAATGATGGCTATCTGGTTTACCCTTCTACATAAACACGTGTTAAATAATGGCTATCTGGTTTACCCTTCTACATAAACACGTGTTAAATAATGGCTATCTGGTTTACCCTTCTACATTAACACGTGTTAAATAATGGCTATCCGACGGATTTTCTAACGAAAATTACATGCAATTTCCTAAACAACAAAATCCAACCACCAGCCAATGTACCCATTGTCCCCAAATTTCCCCTCATTATCTCCCTTCATTTTATGGATTCGCAATCCCTACCAATTAAAAAACAACTCTCTTCACTAATATAAAACTTCTACCCTCAAATTCAGCTTAGAATAATATACAGGTCTAGCCTAAGACTAATATACAGGCCTAGCCTAAGACTAATATACAGACCTAGCCTAAGACTAATATACAGGCCTAGCCTAAGACTAATATACAGGCCTAGCCTAAGACTAATATACAGACCTAGCCTAAGACTAATATACAGGCCTAGCCTCCGTATTAAACACTTATTTCAGTACAAAGATCAAGTATCTAAACTTCTACGTTCATGGCTCGTGTATAAATATACGCGTAGCGACTGTAAAAAGGTCACGTACATTAGCAAAATGAAACGCCACTTGAAAACTAGGGTCTGTGAACATTTAGGAGTATCTAACAGAACCAACCATCCACTACTTAAACCCAGCCACTCATCCATTCGTTCACATTCTGAAACCACAGGTCACAATATTCATCACCACAGGATCTTCAGACCTTGATCTCTACATTAAAGAAAGTCTGCTCATAGCTAAAGACCGTCCGACCCTTAACGACTCACAAAGCTTTTTAGATATAAAACTGTTCTAAATTTTCACACTTAACTCAGCTGTTGTGTAATATATATATACATTGTTTCATCCGCCCATCTACCGTTTTTCTTAATAACTAACTAAACTAATAATTATGTTATTATATTATAATTTTAGTAATAATCATCTTTGTAACACAATTTTCAGATTTCTCTGAAGATGGAATAAGTTATTCCGAAACGTCCGAACCTTGTAAATAAAATGTTTTTTTTTTGTTTAATCAACCGTCTTCATTATTATATTAAACCTTTTTGCATGTTGTCATGGCAGTGCCATCTATCTCGAATGTGATTAGTATGTAGTTGTGTTTGGCTTAATTATCGTCATTACCTGATGTGTCCTTGTATAGGCGAAAGTGTCGCTGACATACTCGTACACTGTTATTTATTTTCACTTGTAGATTCTAATAATTAATACTGATTTATTAAAAAATAATAATTCACAGGAA